ATAATTTTGGGTTTTTTAATTTTTTATTTTTGCTGCAGTTATAGAGCTTTTGATGAGTATGAAGGAATTGAGGTAGCCTGGAACCAGGTGAAGCTTTATGATTTTCTGCAGAGGCCTGAAGATCTTGAGAGGTTGTATTGTGAAATCCATCTGCTCAAAACTTTGAAACACAGAAATATTATGAAGTTCTACACTTCCTGGGTTGATACTGCCAATAGGAACATCAATTTTGTGACAGAGATGTTCACCTCTGGTACTCTGAGACAGTATGTTATTGAATCGCTTCGTCTAAAAGTAAATTTATTTAAATTTAGTCTACCCTTCACACTCAGGCCTAATTTATTTTTTCATCGTCTGTCGTGCACAAATTTCATGGAGTTTCTTAAACCGGTGGCGATGATAATTGACCTCAAAACCATAATTTTATGATGATGCAATACTGAACCATCTAATCTAAAAGTTTAAGCTTTTAGATGAGTTGATTAAAAGTATTAATCAGTATCCACAAGCTTAAATTTTCTACTTTTGAGATTCTATAAACAGGGTATTTCCAATTTTTCATGTTCTAATTCAGTATTTTCTTTTTTTATTATGGTTAATCTGTTATAGGTATAGGCTGAAACATAAGAAGGTTAATATTAGAGCAGTAAAGCATTGGTGTAGACAGATTTTGCAGGGTCTTCTTTATCTCCACAGCCATGACCCTCCTATTATTCATAGAGATCTCAAATGTGACAACATTTTTATTAATGGGAACCAAGGAGAAGTCAAGATTGGTGACCTTGGCCTTGCCGTGATTCTAAGGAAATCCCACGCTGTTCGTTGTGTAGGTAAGGTTTGAATCTTCCGAAATTTCCTTGACTCTTATCTAATAGTTGCTGAGTTTCAATTCATACGAAATAGGAGCATGTTGAGGTGTATTTTTCTGTAGCTTTGATTACTACTGATAAGAATGATGATGGAGTTGTTTAAGGAGAAACTGTGTTTCAAATTTGACGTTTCATTAGTTTTGATTTGAATTAGTAACTCTCAGGAACACCGGAGTTCATGGCTCCAGAGGTGTATGCGGAGGAATACAATGAATTAGTGGATATTTATTCATTTGGCATGTGTGTTTTGGAAATGGTGACGTTTGAATATCCATATAGTGAATGCACTCACCCGGCTCAGATCTATAAGAAAGTGATCTCTGTAAGAACTTGAAACAATTTATGTTGTCAATTGCAGCTATTTGGCTAAGCTTTAAAAAATATTTTGTAATTTTTGGCCAAAAAAGAGAGTAACATTTGGTACTAAAAATTTCGAAAAATGTAATTATTTAAAAACTTCAGCACAAAAGTTACTTTAAAGTAAGCTTAGCCAACCGTGCTACAAGATACTTCCCTCTGCAAACTTGAGGTAACAGAACTGCTTTTATGAAGGGAAAGAAGCCCCATGCTCTATATAAAGTTGAGGATCCCGAGGTTCGTCAATTTGTTGAGAAATGTTTAGCTACAGTGGCTGACAGGCTATCAGCAATGGAGCTTCTTAATGATCCTTTCCTCCAAATCGATGATTCTGATTCTGATTTGAGGCCTTTAGATTATTACAGAGATTACGATGAAGTCGGTCTTTGGTTAAGGCAGCCGGTCTCGAGGGCTCATCATAGTAACAGTTCTTTAGTTAATGGTTACTCTAATTATCTTGGTTATGAACAAGAGAATGACTTGGATTGCCATTCTATTGAATATGAAGCGAATGAAATAGATTTGTTCTCGAGTCAAGAGGATGATCACTTGGAAAACGTTGACATTACAATCAAAGGGAGAAGAAGAGAAGACAATAACATCTTTTTGAGACTAAGAATTGCAGATAAAGAAGGTATGCTTTATTTTCATTTAATTCTTTGGTGACATGTCATGGCATGTTTCGTACGCAGTACTTTATAGAAGTATCTAGTAGACCAAGCTCAACTCTTGTACTCTGGTCTTTGCAGGCTGTGTCCGAAATATTTATTTTCCTTTTGACATTGAAACTGACACGGCTCTTAGTGTCGCTGCCGAAATGGTTGCCGAGTTAGATATCACGGACCACGACGTGACTAAGATAGCGGAGATGATCAACAGTGAGATTTCTTCCTTGGTACCGGAGTGGAAAAGGGGGGAAGAAAGTCTTGATGATGTGAACAATATTTACTGTCAGAATTGTGCTTCGGATGGTTCTCTTGTCGACTATTTATCCTTGCATGGGCTAGGCAAAGACCTTCAAGTTCTTCAATGTTTGAAGCATGGATGTGGTGAAGTACATGGCCGGTTTGAAGAGATCACGTACCAGTTTGAGGCACCCGAGGAATGTGTTCCTCCCATGGCGTCAAGCCAGTCTAATGGCACGCACTATACTGATATATGGGCTCAACGAGACGGTCCTGAATTAACTTCTGTTGATAATGATAAATATGAAACTATTGACCAATCAAGGAAGGATGACAGAACTGAGAGGATTGACAAGGAGAAGTCATCCAATTTGAGAGGTTCCCCGACTAAAACTCCTTCGACTCCGGCAGAAGATTATGAGAACGAGATAAGGCAGGAGCTGAGGTGGCTCAAGGCCAAGTATCAAATGCAGTTGAGAGAGCTTAGAGATCAACAACTTGGGGTTCTGTCAAAATCTTCTACTACTGATGCCCGCGGGCCAAAAGAAGGGAAGGGTGAAGTTCTACTTAAATCTTCTGCCTCGGGGAAGCATTTGACTACATTCGACTCCATCATTGACAGAACAAATTGTACAAATCAGAAGGTTCACGATTACGAACCCACATATAATTCTTGTAGTCCAGTGCATATGATCACTGCCAAAAGTTTCTATACTGGTTCCTTGCTTCAAAATTCACTTCATAGGGCCACTTCTCTACCAGTTGATGCTACAGATATCTAAATCTTTGCTTTTGCTCCATGGTGAGAGTTCCACAGTTCTTGCGGCTTGTAGAGTCTCTGCTTCAAACAAAAGTGACTTCCACTTGAGTTGAAATGATTCACATTACTAACTTGTAGCAGAAAAGTACTCGACACGGTTAAAGAAAGAACAAAAGAAGTCAAAATCTTTGTGTCATCCTCTATAATGTCCATCAAGTACATCATATCAAACATGCCTTTAATGCACCATATTGTCGTTAAAAATCAAGTCTCGGAAGTTATCTTTTATTATTCGTGATATGTAGAGTCAATCTTCCTTGTATAACGTCAATAGAAAATAAGGATTCAGTCTAAACTTTCGTCTAAAGCGTCCTATTTTAAACATAAAAAAGTCTACTATAAAAAAATGCATTATTCTCTTATACATTTCTACTACGTTTCCACCTCCTCTTCTCACCTCACTGCACCCTACATTTTATTTTTTTGGCATTTTCACTTTTATTTCCATATTTCATTGAGTAAAAGGTCATTTTCATCCATTTTCTCAATTAAATTTTTTGAAATGACGAATATACCATTCTCTTTAAATAAAATAAAAGGAAAAAAGAAAAAAACTTATTAAAATCATAGTCCCAATTTTTTTTAAAAGTGCAACTAAGTCATAAATAAATTATTAAAAGGGTAATTAGCACATAATATCCATAACTTTCACTATTATTGCAAAAAAGTTCATACATTTTTTTTTTTGGTATTTCCACCCTTAATTACATATTTAAGTGCGTAAACCATCATTTATATCAAATTTCTCAATAAAAAGCTTTGCACTTCTTAATTTTTTAAACAAAATTTAATTGAGACTCGTTTGCACTTTTTTTAATAATTTATTGGGGACTCATTTGCACTTTTACTATGGTTGCAATTAATTTTTTATTTTTTAAATTTAAATATGAGGGTATATTCGTTATTTCACAATTTTTTATGGAGAAGTTGGATGAAAATGGATGAAAATGATGATTTGCACAATCAAATGTTTAATTAAATGTGGAAATGCCAAAAAAAAAGGTGATGACTTTTTCGCAATAACAGTAAAAGATTGAGACGTTGTGTATTAATTATCCTTTTAATAATTTATTTGAGACTCATTTGCACGTTTAAAAAAAAAAAATTTGGGAGTATGGTTGCAATTAGTTTTTCTTTTCTTTTTGTCTTATTTAATGAGAAGGGTATATTCGCTATTCTACAAATTTTAATGAGAAAATAGATGAAAATAACATTTTGCGCTATGATCCGACTTTAGGCTAAAGATATAGCAACACGAATAGTAAAATGTAAAGGAAAGAATCTTCCGACTTTAGGCCCCTTTGAAATCACCTTCCCTAACCCTTGATCCTGTACAGACAATCAGCAACAGAGAAACACACATCACATTCGTTATCAACTAATCGAACTGAAATCAAGGGCACTACCATTAGAAATCTAAATGTGTTGTGTGCCAATATAACGTCGAATGTTATGCAAAGGATCAGAACTTCACGTCATATGATTAGATGACCCTGAATCAACAAACCAAGAAGAACAAACAACTTGACCCTTTTCTTGTAAGCCCAGCAGAGAAGGCAAAAACATACATGTTGAACCATTGGTAAGAACATATTGACTTGTGCTTGCTTGTGAAAGTGATGGAGTAGTATCGTGAACATCGGCGCAAAAAACTTTAGCTTTTCGAGTTTGAGGACGTATGGGATAATCCTTGATGACATGTCCTGGTTGTTTACAGTAATTGCAAACTAAATGAGGACATTAATGCGCAATATGTTCGTATCCTTTGCAGCTAAAATGTTGGAGTTCACCTTCTTCCCGTCCTTAGGCAGAGCATAAGCAACGTGGACAACATCAGAAGAAGAAAAATCAACCCCAATATTAGCTTGGTAGCAAGTCGTTGCTCCTCACGCAAAAGGTCGCCCAAACATACATCTAATGAAGGAACCAGATCACAATTCAATAAACCCGCTCAAACCACTTCAAATTGAAGTCAATTTCATTAGAAATTGATTCCGCTTACTAACCTCTTGTAGTGCAAATAAGGCCGTTGTAGGGAACTTAGCATGAATTATGCCAGAGTACTCCACACGTTCAGATAACAAGAATAACATTGCTCAATAGTAAAGTTACCCTGAGTGTGGTTGGCAATCTCTAACTCCAATTGAAACCCTCGTTCATTATTGTCTTTATAATAAATGCGCTTTAAGTACTCCCATATCTCCTTATCAATGGTAAAGAAACATAAATTATTCACCATGTGTGACTCCATAGACCCTAAAATCCAAGAAATAATAAGAGCATCCTTCGTTTCCCATGCACCAAGATCCTTACCGCCTTTAGGTACTTTAGATGACCCTTTAATATGACCCCCACCAAAGCTTATTTCCTTCTAAGAACATCTACCATATAAAATAATTCTTTTGTGTGAACTTAATACAAAAGGTGTCAACCGACATACCTCCTGAGTGTAAGGAAATCACCAATTAAAGCAGCCCAAACTAACACAACCTACAAATTACAGCCCAAACAAATTAACACGTCAAGATCAGCCCACCCCAAACAAAATAGCCCACGTAAATATATTCAAGCCAACTTAAGGTAATAGTCCCAAATAACACACAATCCACAAAATATGCAAACCACAAAACCTACAATCGAGACGTGAACCCAAAAAAAATAATTCCCATCAATCGCTCACGGGACGCCGGAACTACACCGAAGAGTCAACGGACCTCCTTGATCACACACACAATGATGCCGGAATCGCACCCAAGAAACATTAGAACCGCGTCACACACAGATGACGCTGGAATCGCACACAGAGATGTCACAATCGCATTGCTCACACACTGAGTGACGTGGAGATTGCATCAATCCCCAATCAAGAAGAAACAAACCCCGTTGACCAAAGACCAATGGAGATAACCTTCGTAATCTTCGCAATGTTAGAACATCATGATCTACCTTTTGAATTATACTTGTCTGATCTCGGTAATTGATCTTTTAAATTAATTGGTCCATATTTTATTCAATCACTAAGCTAATACACTTCATTTTTTTAGTATATTGAATGTACCATTAGATACTGAGTTTAGCCCTTTGTTAGAGCTACTGTAACGCCACATTCTTATTTCTCGTCATTACTACGTCTGTATAGATCTTGTATTGATGTTGCACTTACTTAATAATTAATATGACTATCTTCTTCATGATTAATTATATTCTTTTTATAGTGGAATGTTCCTTGGACGCTTCAAGCGATCGATGTGCCTATTAATTTAAGTTTAATGCATTTATAGTTTAAGTGAACTTAAATTATAACATATATTAATTCTATCATGTCCTTTAAAATTGCCTTACTTTTGGATTAAACATAGAAATCATGGTAGAACATTTTCTCTTCTTGATTGGTAAGTTCAATTTTGTGTAAGTTAATATAAAAGTAAATGGCCAATTTAAGGATCTAAATAAGTTAATAGGACATATAAGAGGTCTCATCAATTAAAGAACACAAATTACGTCTAATTTACTATCCTTAGGTTAATAATCAAGATGTTTCCCCTATTTATACCTCATTGCACCCACCCCAACTCCTAAACGTTTGTCCTTTGCTTCAGTATCTTTTGGGATTGAAGTCTTGTACTCCTCGTTAAGATATTACAATTTCAATTTGTTGTTGCCATCATTTTGTAGATTTATTATAGGGAAAAAAATCAAAATTCAGGTG